CACCCCAAACGGGAATGGAACCATAGTAGTACAATGTACAATAATTACGTGTTGCCAATTCACCACATGGCCAAGAGTGCCAATGAGTGGCAGGGGAACGAGAATTGACATCGTATAGTGTGATTGTCGATAGAACAATCGTTTATTAACCATGATACTTGACTATAGTACTTTTATTCAAAATGAGTAGTTTCAAAAATCTTATTAAAGATCTTCTAGCAGTTTTGGAACCTACTCATTCTGGATGTAGATAATATTGTCGGAAGTAAAAGCAAACACAAGTTCAGTCCATCTAAAATCCCATTGAAAATGTGATATGACAAAGGCCTGGCTAGCTTTAAAGTTCACGTCTCCTCTGTGACCGACTGGAACGTGTGAATGTGGCGTAGTGGTAGGATGTGGAAATTAAGGTTGCAGTACCCAGATTTGATTCCGGCTGAGGATGATGATGAGACCCAGGTGAGGTGAAGACTGTAGTCCGACTTGGATGATAATACATTTTGGAAAGTAGGGCTAAGTGGAATTCAATGGTATTGTGAGGCTAACTCATACCATTGTGGGAATATGAATCTGTCAGTACCTTATCACCCCCATGCTCTTATTAAGATATTCTAGAACACTTTCACAAGTTCCAAGCTTGGCTGGGTGGTTACAACTCAGCTTTAGCAATAGGATATGGAGGATCGTCAACTAGAAATGCGCATTCGATAGCGCCTGGCTCAGAAAAAGTGAAACAGAAGAGCGATATGACTATGGATGTACGCATGAAGACCAGGATGCTGAGGTCAAACCATTTTTATGAATCATAGATTATTATTTTTTAATTACCTCAACCATCTGAGTGAAGTCTTCTTGATCCTTAGATCCAATCAGCCTATCATAGAAGGTGCGATGAGCTTCATGCATCCAGAGGCGCACTAACCAACTTTGCACCTCCTCCTTGCTTAAAAGTTTACGCGAATCGGCGCTTTCATGACTTGGCGGCTTACCAGCCGTGGTTATGTCATCGTTGTTGGAAGATGCTGGAGGGATCAATGTCTCCAGAGAGTCAGGTGTCACTCTAAGACAGGCCAATAGTAGGCGGACATAGTCTCTCGTCGAAAAGATGTAATGACATCGTGTTGGAGTTGGCTTGAACCGTTGCAGAACTCGGTCATACAGTTCTGCAGATGCATACGCGAAGACCTAAAGGTAGCCAAAGAGGTAGGGTAAAAGGGATGAGCAAAACACTTTTTTCGTAGTTATAACGATCAAGATGACGTGATATTCTGTTTGGTCGCAGTCTCCCTTACTTTTATGGTGTTGGTTTGACCTCATTTTCGTAACTTGGTCAGAGCACCAGGTAGACCTTGTGGAACGTAATTAGTCATGTGTCCTTTGCCATAATATTCGTGATTTTCGGCATTGGAGCATTGACTTGGTACATTGCAAAGCATTCAGCCGGTATCGTAGTCTGTATAGTCAGTGGGAGGCGCCATCGTTAGGACAGACCCACAACTGATCAAAGTGTCAAGTGAAGGCAAACCCCTTGACTAATTTTCTATTCAACCATTTTGTCATCACACCTCGCCCCTGCTTTTTGTCATTCTCAACCTCACTTCATATCAAAGATATGAATATCAAGATGTTGTGGCCTTTGGTATGTTCGCAGTCTCCGTTCAATTTGTAGAAGTGGGTTGACCTCACTGTCGCAACTTGGTCTTGTTATCAAGGCGACTTGGTAGAACGCACCTAGTCTGAAGTCGTCTACCATAGTAGTTGTCATGATTATCAGAATCATACAGTGGACTTGGTACATTCTCAAACGTAGGGTAAGAGGGTAAAGAGTAGATAGATAGGTCAAGACAGAAAGAGGAGTGATAGTGTAACCGTTTTTTGACAGAACGTTTGTCGAGAGAATGACAAAACTCACTGACGATGCTGACTACGATGCCGGCGAAACGTTTGAGAATGTACCAAGTCTACTGTCTGATGCTGGGAATCATGACAACAACTATGGCAGACGACTTCGGACTAGGTGAGTTCTACATAGTCTCCCTGACAACAAGACCAAGTTGCGACAGCGAGGTCAACCCACTTTTCACTTCTTATCGCCAATTCATCTATTCACACAATTATGTGATCGCGTTTCCTCTAAGGTTGCTTAAGAAGGTGGATTAAGTGAGGCATAATCATCCTCTCCACCAGTTCCAGGTGCCGTTTGCAAGGCTTCTGACCTGATTCTAACATTTCTATTGTATCTCAAGTTGTCAGTCCCATGTAATACTAGAGTACTAGTCAGTTGTGTATGCTTTCATTGGATGGTACCACCCCCTGTTTTTTGGTCATGCAGGTCATCTGTTACCTCTCATTAGGGCACACCCCCCTAAAGTGCCTACAAGCACACAAGCACATTAGGGACCTATTTCTGGTCCACCTAAACCTTTAGCCTGACACCTCTAATGGAGCATAATCTGGTGATTTCTGGCCTTTAATGTCCTATACCACATACCACAGGTGGATCAACACCGGTAAATTCTCAGGCTGATTCAAGGTTTGAGTATTCTTATAGCAATCGTCTTTTTTTAATTTCCCTTTATCCCTCATTATCCTATCATTGGCGATGTCTCTTTCTGTTGTTAAATAGTTGTCCTTGGTCCAAGTTTGCCCGGACAGTACTCAAAACTCTCGCTGACTCATCCCCCGTGCCAATTTCGAGGGTCTCTTTTAAACGGGATATCCTTTCATCTGCTCATCACTGTCCATATTTTGGCCACCAATAATTCGCTTCCCTCCGAACTGGTGCTTTTGATTATTTTGCAAAATTCGTATGAATTCTTCACAGTATCCGATAAACTGTCATTCACCATCTTTAATTTGGGGCAGATAAATTTCACCAGTTCATGTGGGGTTCCCTGTTTGTTGTTCATTGTCAGTCTCAATGCTTCTCTATCTTTGTGTACCTTCGGCAAACCGTTCATATTCATTTCCTTCAGTATTTCTTACAGTGCCCCTTTGATTTTTACTGTTGGGTCTTTTGATATCAGTCGATAAGTTGTAGTACCCCCAAGGATATTTACATTTTATCTGTACATTCCATCTTCTCCATCACCGTTGTCTCACCTCCTTTGTCGACTTGTATAACTATTTGATCGTTTATTTTCGATTGTCTATATGTCAGAGTTATATTATTCCTATCCGTGGATTATTGGTTCGCCAAAATTGTTGGGATGATTTTCATTTCAAGCTCACTTTTTGATTCTTCTGCTAGTTTCTCAGGTATATATATCACCTCCACTAAAATTTTCCTCGTTCACCTTCCTTTCAAACCGATGTGCAAAATTTAGTCCTTTCCTGAGCATCACCGGGGCTTAAAGATCAAGAGAGACGGAAGAAAAATTCACTACTTTATCTTTCTCTCTTGTCTGAACTGGGAGATTCTTCATTCTAGAAACATCCTTATTTTTGCCGGGTGGTTGGAGCATATTTATTTAACTTCTTTAAGGGACTTATTTTATTAAGTCCGAACTCTTTTGCGACATTTTGCTCGTTATCCTCTGTTCTTTCAGAAAATCCTCTGAGGTAAGAATCCGACTCAAATCATGTCTGCGCCTTAACACTTAAATAAGTTTGCCATATTTTTTGTATTCGATTTAAAATGTCAATGACTGATTATTCTAAGCACATTAAGACCAGGTAATCAGCCGCTAAAAAAATATGAAATGGAAGCAATTGTGAGATAGAAAGTTGTTCTTAACGGTGAATGGTGCTGCCTTGAAATAAATTACTAACCAACATCATTAGCAAAAAACAAAATTGAAATTGATAATGTTGGTTTGAGCTCTTTTTCGCAGCCTAGAACGACAGATAGACCCTGTGGAACATATCTAGTCCTGCATCCTCTGCTTTAGTATTAATGATAATTTTCGGCAACCAACCGTTAACCTGATACATCCCCAAACATTTTGTCTGCATCATCAGTGAGATGCACGATTTATAGCACAGAGCATATGATCAAAGTGACAAATCAATTTTCCATCCTTATCGACACAGAAACCACGGAGATTCTCAAGGTGGGAATAATTTTCTGCGCGTCAAAATGAAATGAAGACAAACAAGGACAGTTTACTGGAAGTGTTACGTACTTACGATAAGCTACAGGAAGAATAAAAAAAAGAACAGTAAATGGAAATCATCTCAACAAACCTGGCACGCAGAAAACTCACGCATAGGAAAGACATAACCGAGATATATGAAAATTAAAACAAAATGGTCAGATAGTTTTATAAGTGAACTAAGGAGCTACACCAGTAGCCTCGTACATAAAATGTCATAAAAAAGGAAAATATTCTCATGACACAAGGTTCCAACTGTTAAAATCAAGGGAGCACCGCAATAACTGCGGAAGGAAATGAAGAAGAATGGAAAAATAATTCATTAATACGAGAGAAAGCAAGATCCCCAATAACATACGGTTTGCCGAAACTTATCTGCCACCGATTAAAGAAGCTGAATGACAATTTATCGAATAAAGTGAGGAATTCATGTGAATTTTGAAAGGAATCTAAAGCATCAGTTTGGTGGGAAGCGAAATATTGATGAGCCTTGATGTATAGTATATGTACAGGAGAGAAAAAAATCACGGCACTACTGAAGGGCTTAGAAGGAGAAGTCGACATCCTGGAGACTGAGCGAATCCGAAATAAGTCTTTAATCCGATTGATCAACCTAACGATAGGAACCAACTAATTCTCGCTCGACAGCTGTATCTATGAGCAAATATTTGGTCTGCTGCTGTCGCCTCTGTTGGCTAATCGCTATAGGAACAAGTTGGAGGCGAATTTAAAAACGTCACCTAGCCGCTAACAGTAATCATGTGATATTTGGAAGCCCACTTCGCATTCTGATGGCATGGGGAAGAGGACTATGACGATTTCTTGATCTTCACAAACGATATGTATTAATAAGTCAAATTTACAATGAATTTCGAAGAGAACAAACATTTCTCTCTTTTGGATGTGCAGATCATTCAATCAGAGGATAGTCTCAAGAAACGGCTGTTCCGAAAGATATAATATGCAGAAATAATCCTTAACTTTCAGTCCAATCAAACTTATGAGCTGACAATTGGAATATGCAGGAATATGGTGATAAGAAGCCTATGACTTCACGATTGTGAGTTCTGGGAAGAGGAACAGGAAAACTGACTCACATGCTTCTCGGAAATGAATATCCAGAATGAGCAATACAACACAACATACGGATCGTGATGAGCAGGTGGAATAATGCCAGCTATAAAGGGAAAGCAAGGGAAATAGAGGAAAACGATTTTTATGTCTACTTTCCTGCGAACTGGCTCGGAAGATGATGCCGCTACTATTAAAATGGGATATTTGTACAAT